AAGTAGTTGCCAAATCACCTCTCGATCGGTGCTGTCAGCTGAACGCCTTTTCAAAGTCGATGAAGTTGAGATAGAGAGGTGACTTCCATTCCATGCTTTGTTCGATGATGATCCTTAGTGTGGCGATTTGATCAATACATGATTTGTTTCTCCTGAATTCAGCTTGTTCCGGTCGAAGTTTTTCACCCAACTTGGCTTGTTTGATTCTCTCCAGGATGATGCGGCTTAGTATTTTGCTTGTGATGGACAGAAGCATAATTCCACGCCAGTCCTTGCATTGACTTAAGTCTCCTTTCTTTGGTAGTTTGAATACGTATCCGTTCTTCTAATCCTCGGGTACTTTACCCTCTTTTCACACCTTCTCTAGTAATGGCGTCATCAAGTCCGCTGTTGTCTCTGCGTCTCTGTGTTAGAGTTCATCGGCGACTTGCTGGTTGGCCATTGAATTGGGTCGGGTCATAGTGGCTGAATAGTATACGAGCTAGCTTGAGTTGTAACCGGAAGATTCTGGGTTCGAACCCCAATGGCCTGGCGGCGGGTGCGTACTGACGATGATTCCCAAACTAGGTTGATGAAACAGCTGGCTGTCCAGTACTCCCCCGCCCAGCTGGTTTGCAATGGTTCTCTAGCTGATATCAATCCGTGATGAACTCGTAAAGAAAAAACATCGAATCCTTACAAACTAACTATTGAAGATTATTAAGGTATGTATAGAATTTGGGCACTGTGGTAGTAGATAATTCCATATGAGTTTGTTTATTAGATGTATCACACAGTCAGTGAAAGAGTATTGTTGACTGGATGACGAGGTTTCGAACACAATCCATTATTGTTTATAATCATACGACTTCGAAACTTTAGTTTTTTAGTTTTCTTTATCCTCGCCTATTTGTCATCATTGGGTAGTAGAATTTTCCAGATATCTGGATGGACAGGTGTTGAATCATTCCTATTACACGTGTTTGCAGTTGATTCGATAAACAAAGCTTCTGTTATCAATCTCTCTCTCCCTCAACCCTGTGATATTAGATTTTAAAACAGTCATCTTATCCTACCCGTAGTATTGTATGGTTGTGTGAAATTGCATGTAATGAGTGCTATATAGCTGAACTTTTCTCCAGATTTCTAATCTTATTCGGGTCAACTAATCTAGATTTTGCAGCTAGGTTTTTATGATCGGCTAATCTGACTGACTGACTGACCCTGTTCTACTACTTTGGCCTACTAGAAGACTTATTCCGGCGAGCTCCGAATTCAACGAGGAGCGAAAGCTACACAAAAGGAAACTTACGAAAAGTCTTCGCAAGGACCGTGAACAGTGGTGACTGACAAAGGCAAAAGAGATGGAAAAAGCATCGGCGATAGGCAACACTAGGCAACTCTTTAGACTCATCAAGGAAACAGGAGGGAGAAGACAAATCATTAGTGAAACAATCTCGGAGAAAAATGGCACCATAATTAGCTCTCAGGATAGACGACTGGAACGCTGGAAAGAACACTATGAGGAGCAGTTTAATTGAAACACAGCCACGCTCAACCTGCCGAACATCCAACACCTCCCTGAATGGGATATAGACACTGGTCCGCCGTCTGTAAGTGAGGTCACAAAAGTTATCTGTAATTTGAAACGAGGCGAAGCGGCAGGACCCGACGGAATTATTCCGGAGGTGTTGAAATATGGGGCTGACATACTAGTTTGTAGATTAACTAAGGTACTAGGCAAAGTCTGGGAATCAGAGACGGTTCCATCAGACTGAGGTAAGTCACTTATTATAACGATATTCAAGAAGGGAAACAAGTTCTCGTGTGATAATCATAGGGGGATCAGCCTAACGAACATAGTCTCTAAAATCCTAGGCTCAGTAATCATGCATAGACTAAGCAGAACTCGGGAGGAACAGACAAGGGAAAATCAAGCAGGCTTTAGACCAGGTAGAGGGTGCATAGATCACATCTTTACTCTTCGACAGATTCTAGAACATAGACACACTTTTCGGCGTCCAACAATTGCCATATTTCTTGACTTGAAGGCGGCCTTCGACTCCGTGGATCGAAAGGTACTATGGCAATGTCTGACTGTGAAGGGAGTGCCAAGAAAGTACATTGCACTAATCAAGGCACTCTATTCAAACTCACGTAGTCGTGTAAGGGCTTATGGGGAATTGTCATCTGAATTGGTAACAACCAGTGGTGTCCGACAGGGATGTCCACTTTCCCCATTTCTGTTTAACTTCATCATAGATATACTGATGGAAGTATCCTTAACTGAACGTAACGACTTAGGAATCGACTTGTTACCAGGGAATAGTCTTATGGACTTAGAATATGCAGATGACATAGTCCTGTTAGGGGAGGATGCTGACAAAATCCAGCAGAGTCTTCTGAACACCTTGAGCAGCAATCTTCGTATGTTTGGCATGCGATTCGCCCCTACAAAATGTAAGATGCTGCTACAGGACTGGACCACGTCAACCCCTAACTTAGTGATAGGGAGTGAAGTGATAGAACATGTTGACCACTTCACCTATTTGGGAAGTTGTATTAGCACCAACGGACTGATTGGCGATGAAATCTCAGCACGGATCCGAAAAGCTCGAGCTGCTTTCGCTGACTTACACCATCTCTGGCGTAGGCGTGACATCCGGCTATCAACCAAGGGACGTGTGTACTGCTCATCAGTTCGCTCCGTCCTTTTCTATGGCTCTGAAACATGGCCAATACGAGTTGAAGACATGAAAAGGTTGACTGCTTTCGATCATAGATGTCTGCGATCTCTGTCTCACGTTAGGTGGTTTAATAAGGTAAGTAATGTTGACGTTAGGCGTAGAGTGTTGGGCAAAGAGGGAAAATCAATCGACGAGGCTATAAAGTTACATAGATTGAGATGGCTAGGTCACGTGGTGCGCATGCCTAACCATCGCCTCCCCCACGACGGGCATTACTAGCTGATATAGGTGGAGGTTGGAAAAGACTAAGTGGTGGCCAAACAAAAACATGGCCACATCAATCCATGAAATCCTTGACAGTTAAACTGAGTCGGTCAGGTAGGGAGATGCAGATTTCCGGGTTGGGGCCCTCGGGACTGACTCTAGGAATCAATGGCTGGAGACAATAGGTGACATGGCTCAAAATCGTTGTCAATGGCCAGCGCAGATGTATTCAGTCTCTGTAATCTTTCATATTCTTTTTTACCATTACCCATTCTGTTTCACTCTTATACTTGTCAAACTCTATTGATTCACTTCACTCATCTTCTTGTCTACCTTTGTGTGCTATTTGGAAGGTGGCAACTCGAACTGGTGCACTTCGGTGGCAAGTTTTATGTTGAATCTAGACAGACAGACTCTGACCTACGTATTTGACCTGATAATCATCAAAGCAGGTTCCATAGGACCCTTTAACCGATAAAGCTTATTTTTGATTGAATTCGTGGGTGGTCTGAATGCCAGCAGCCACTTTTATTCCTGGCTGTCGGTATTGTTAAGAATTCTCCGCTATAAGGTGGTTTCCAAGGTTCCTTCTTTGTATACAAGTACTACTAATGATTTAGATTCTTTATTGTTGGGTGTTGTCATTATCCTGAGCGTGTTTGACATGCATGTCGTCATACATATCGAAACGTCATCCAGTAAATAATAATACTGTTTCACTCACTGACTGTGATATATCTAATAAACAAACTAATATGGGAAGTGATGGTGAAGTTAAACTTTCGACACCACTAACAACCAATCAGCGAGTTATCCAATGAGATTCACGAAGGATGTCGAATTATCCAATGAGGTTCACGAACGTAGTTCAATGTTGTATAGTGCTTGATTCATTTCAAATGCGTGCCTTTACAAGGTTACGGTTGCAATTCGAGGAGGATAGTGTATTCCAGTATTGTCTGGATTTAGGGTTGCTCCGGAAGAAGCGAACTTGTTCGTGTGGTGGTATCATGACTTTAAAGAGCTATAGCAGATCAATTGATGGATTTGTTCATCGTTGTGGTATATGTTTGAAGCGTTCTAGTATTAGAGAGGGTAAGCTGATTATTTTAATATTTCGTAGGAACTTGTTTCGCCAGGTCGCATCTGTCCCTAACGCAGATTTTATATATCTGCAACTACTGGGTGTTAAAACAGCCAGTGAGAGCAGCAGCAGCCGAGACGGAGAATAGCCTGGTGTCAACAGTCCAGTGGTACCAGCATTGTAGAGATATCGCATCATGGAAAATGGAAAAATCACTTGTTTGTTGGATGGAGATGTTATCGTGCATATCGATGAGACAGTGCTGGTAAAGAAGAAATACAATCGCGGTCGCCAGCGAGCGAACAATATTTGGGTATTAGGTTTGTACGACACCTCGCTTCGAAAGGGATTCGTGGAAAGGATAGCGGATAGAAAAGTAACCACTCTTATACCTATTATCACCAGACTTGTAAAAAAAGGTTCTATAATACATACGGATGAATGGAAGGGTTACAATTCGCTGTCATCTTTGGGATATATTCATCATAGAGTCAACCATTCAAGTGATTTTGTGGATCCCGTTACGAGAACACATACGAATTCTATTGAAGGATTTTGGGGCAGGTTGAAAAATAGGATAAGGGCTATAAATGGATCTCAAAAGGATCTCATTTATAGTCATTTGGATGAATATATGTACAGGATATGGTGTAACTTCTCCATTGACAGTCCCATGCTAAACTGGGAGATGATTCTATCACATGTTCGAGAAAGATATCCCATGTAACTTTTTTATTCTCTATTTTATGCTTTTTTCTATAAATATACATTTCTATTTATCATATATGCCTCTTTAATGTGACTGGTCCGTTCAAGGTCGTTTGCTGATTGTTAGTTAGTGGTGTCTAAAGTTTAACTTTGCCGAAGTGATTATTGTTATTGTTATTATTATTATAACCAAATAAACAGATGGTAGATAAAACATTGAAAAATTGAAAATCCCACACAAAGAAACAAAATAAAACAGAGCAAAAAAAATAGCTTACTTGTGAATATCCAGGTAGATTATAAAAATCTTTCATCTGAAATGAATTCCCTTCAACGCATAACAATGAGATCTGGGAGTCGGTTAACAGCTCACACGGGAAATTCTCCAGTCGTAAACAATTATTCTCCAAACGTAACACCTTTAAACGTTCACATTGACTTATATTTTTTGAGATAATTGAGACACGATTTTGATTTAAATTGATCTCAATTGCCTAAATGAGAAGAATGAGGCATGGGTGCGGGGGGGGGGGGAAAGAGGAAATAAAAGTCTATCAGATTAAAGATCTCAAATAATGATGATGATTCTTCGGTTAACTGAAACCGAAAGCGACAGTTAGTGTTGCCTGACCATAGAGCCCAGGGAACAACTGCTTGATGCTGGCCAGTAACACACACGACCTCCATGAACTGGTTTCTTGGATTGGGGGGTCAGGATGTACAACTTTTGGGATTGACCTTTTCTAACCCACCTCCATCCAGAGTTGAGAGACAGAATAGGTGGTATAGCTAGTCGACCAAGAGAAACACCTTAGTGCGGCTGTTACATCCCTATTCCCCAGCAGTACGACTTCGTCCACAGACTCCCAGCATATTGTAAGAAAAATAACTCTAACACTAAACCGGTAACTGCTTTTAGTCAAATAGCTATCCTAACAACCTTCCTGACATGGTAAGACCTTCAGGAACAGTAGTTCCAGCCAGTGTAGCCTGTTGGGTCATTGCGATATGCAAGCCCGACCGAAAGCTGCTACCTTGACGTGGTGGTCGGGCTTGAACACCGCAATGACCTAATCAAGCTATACTGGCTGAGACTTATGTCTCTTGAGGTTCTACCATGCCAGGCAGGTTGTTTGGATAGCGGTTAAACAAAAAGCAGCTACCCAATCCAATACCATGATTCAAACAAATTCACAAAATTTCATGCCGGATCGGCCGTGGCCCGGATTAACAACGACCGCGCTTCCTGCTGCCGTGTCACAGGGCAGGAGTGATAAATATGCTACTGAGACACACAAAACAAAAAGAACGAACAAAAACAGGCCGCGTGTGACCGGCCTCAAGCAGTTGTCCCCTGGGCTCTGCGGTCACGCAACCAACTTCCACGGTGTGGGCAGCCGGGAAGTAACAATCGCCCTCACAATCCGAAATGCACACGAAACCTCTCTATTACTCACTCATCTTTGTCTTCATCTTCATCTCTATCATCTTGCCTTCCTTCCACTGATGCAACTCCTCGACTTGATAGCTCTCCACTTCCTCTCCACTCTGCGTCCACTAAAAACGATGGAAGCCAAAAAACCACCACCGACAGCCTCTTAAAGCCGCGCCACCAATTTCATATAGGAGCTCTTAATGTTAGGACACTTTGCCAAATAGGACAACAAGCATCACTAGCCAAGACCCTGGCATCACGAGCCATTGATGTATGCTGTGTTTCAGAAACACGCATACAAGACCCAAGTGTGGTTATTCACCTAACCCCACCTGGCCAACAGGTTGAATCTGCAAAATTCACCTTGAGGGTGTCAGGAGATGCCACAGCTAGTTCACGAGGATTAGCTGGCGTAGGGATAGCTTTGAGTACTAGGGCAGAAAAGACATTGCTTGACTGGATCCCGGTAGATAGCCGAATGTGTGCTGTCCGCCTGAACGGATCAGTAAGAAGGAGGAAGGACTGCACTACTCGCCGATGCCTTTTCGTAATCTCCGCCTACGCCCCCACTGACTGCAGTTCAGATGAAACGAAGGATGAGTTCTACCAAAAGCTGTCTAGTTTGGTGCGAAAGGCTAAACGCTCAGACATAGTCGTTCTAGCTGGTGACTTTAACGCTCAAGTAGGGAAATTGTGTCAATCTGAGAAGGATGTCGGTGGCACCTATGGAGTTCCGTGCCAGCGAACCGACAACGGTGACCGTCTCCTACAGTTCTGCTCTGATAATCATTTGTTTCTTGTAAGCACTAACTTTAAACACAAGGAGAGACACTGTTTGACTTGGAGACCCCCTTCATCAAACCAACGCTGGACACAAATAGACCACATAGCAATAAGCTATCGTTGGCGTGGGTCGGTAGGAGATTGTCGCTCCTTCTGGAACACGTGCGTAGATACCGACCATGCACTGGTCCGCGCTCGGGTGTGCTTACGACTGAACGGACGTAGGAAACAGCTGGCGGTAAAACCATCACGTCCCCAGCTCGATCAGGAAACTAAATCCGTATTTGAGGAAGAACTAGCTAAACACATATCTGTGTTCGACAGCTGTGCTCACCCTGAAGAAGCTTGGAAAAATATCCAGGCAGCCATAGATACAGCTGTAAAAGCTGTGAATAAGGTAAACCCAAAGGTGAGTAAAAACCACTGGATCTCCACCGCCTCATCCGAACTGATAGATGCTAGAAGACTTATTCCGGCGAGCTCCGAATTCAATGAGGAGCGAAAGCTGCACAAGAGGAAACTTACGAAAAGTCTCCGCAAGGACCGTGAACAGTGGTGGGCGACAAAAGCCAAAGAGATGGAGAAAGCTTCGAGGATAGGCAACACCAGGCAACTCTTTAGACTCATCAGGGAAACGGGTGGGAGAAGACAAATCATTAGTGAGACAATCTCGGAAAAAAATGGCACTATAATTAGCTCCCAGGATAGACGACTGGATCGTTGGAAAGAGCATTATGAGGAGCAGTTTAATTTGCCCACAGCCACGCTCAACCTTCCGAGCATCCAACACCTCCCTGAATGGGATATAGACACAGGTCCTCCGTCACTAACTGAGGTTACTAAAGCTGTCACCAATCTGAAACTAGGCAAAGCAGCGGGACCTGATGGAATGACTCCAGAGGTATTTAAGTACGGTGGAGACAGCTTACTGTCTGCATTAACTGAGGTACTAGGCAGCGTCTGGGAATCAGAAGAAGTCCCATCGGGTTGGTGTAAGTCACTGATTATCCCCATATACAAGAAGGGAGACAAGTCTTCCTGTGATAATCACAGAGGGATTAGCTTGACTAATATAGTATCTAAAGTCTTAGGCTCAATAATCATGCGTAGACTGAGTGGTGCTCGGGAAGCACAAACACGAGAGAGCCAGGCAGGCTTTAGACCAGGAAGAGGGTGTATTGATCATATCTTCACCCTCCGACAGATTCTAGAACATAGGAATTCCTACCGGCGTCCAACAGTCATTATATTTCTTGACCTAAAGGCAGCATTCGACTCTGTCGATCGAGAAGTTCTCTGGAGATGCTTGGCTGTAAAGGGAATTCCGAGAAAATATATTGCACTGATTAAGGCACTCTACTCGTACTCATACAGCCAGGTGAGAGCTTACGGTGAGTTATCATCTGAACTGGTGACGACTAGTGGTGTCCGTCAAGGATGCCCATTATCCCCTTTTTCTGCAGCGACTCCTAGATTAGAAATAGGGAGTGAAGTGGTAGAGCACGTCGACCGCTTCACTTATTTGGGAAGTACTATCAGCCAGTGCCAATGGGTTGATCCCTGACGAAATCTCATCAAGGATACAGGGGGTTCGTTTCGCATTTGCCAGTTTACGCCGACTCTGGCGTAGACGAGATGTTCGACTATCGACCAAAGGGCAGGTGTACTGCTCATCAGTCCGCTCCGTCCTGCTTAATGGCTGTGAGCTAGACCTGGCCATTGAGAGTGGAAGACATGAAAAGGCCAGCGAGATGTCTTTGATCATAGGTGTCTGCGTTCCATCTCCCGCGTTAGGTGGCGTGGTATAATAAGGTGAGCAATACTGAGGTTAGGCATCCGTCGAGTACTAGGTAAGGATGGAGGGGAAATCAATAGATGAGGCTGTGAAGCTACATCGACCGAAATGGTTAGGACATGTGCTACGTCTGTCTGTCTGTTTTCGACATAGAACTTTGCACAAATGTGCACCAGTTTAAGTCGCCACACTCCGTGTAGCACGCGAAGCAAGAGAAGAAAGTACAAGAAAAGCATAATAGAGACAGTAAGCATAGATGTGAAAGAAAGGAGGAGTAATAACGAAGAACAAAACAGTTTCATTGGAAATCACAAGTCACAAGGAGTGGATGCATCTGCGTCACCCGGCCATTGAGAACGATTTTGAGCCAACCATAGATTTTTACAGTCCCGAGGACCCCAGTCTGGAAGTCTACACCTTCCTACGTGGCTTAGACCGACTGTTGTGGATTTCATTGACTGGTGCCAAGTTTCTGTTTGACCGCCGCTAGCTTTTTTCCAGCCTGACCCTATATCCGCTAACATTGCTCGTCGAGGGAGGCGATGGCTTGGCATACGTAACACATGTCCTAACCATCTCAGTCTTTGTAACTTCACGACTTCGTCGATTGATTTCCCCTGTTTACCTAGAACTCGACCGACGCCTAACCCCAATGTTGCTGACCTTATTATGCCACTTTACACGGGAGATAGTACACAGCCACCTATGATCAAAGACAGCTAATTTGGCTTTTCATGTCTTCCACTCCAAGTGGCCAGGTCTCACAGCCGTAAAGGAGGACGGAGCGGACCGATGAGCAATACACCTGCCCTTTGGTCGATAGTCGAACATCTCGTCTACGCCAGAGTCGGCGTAAACTGGCAAATGCGAAACGAGCCCCCTGTATTCGTGCTGAGATTTCGTCAGAGATCAACCCGTTGGGGCTGATGATACATGTGCTACGTATGCCTAGTCGTCGCCTTCCTCGACGGGCAATGTTAGCTGATGTAGAGTCAGGCTGGAAAAGAGCTAGAGGTGGTCAAACCGAAATATGGCACCAGTCAATGAAATCCACGACAGTTAGTCTAAGCCACGTAGGAAGGTATAGACTTCCTGACCTACTGGTTGGGGTCCTCGGGACGGTAAAAACAAATGGTTGGAAACAATTGGTGAAATGGCTCAAAATCGTTCTCAATGGCTGGGTGGCGCAGATGCATCCACTCCTTGTGACTTATGATCTCCAATGAAACTGTTTTGTTCTTCGTTATTACTATTCCTTTATCTCATACCTCTATCTACTGTTTCTATCATGCTTTTCTTGTACTTTCTTCTCTTGCTTTGTGTGATACAAGGAGGGAGTGTGGCGACTTGAACTGGTGCACATTTGTGCAAAGTTCTATGTCGAGAACAGACAGACAGCGATATACAAGCTCGATCACCCTGTCAAGGTACCAGCCATCGGTCAGTCAGATGGTCTAAGTCAAATGGTCTTGTGTTAAATCCTTCCAAATGTCAGGCAGTTGACTTTACTTTCAAGCATCGACGTGACATACATGAACTAGTTAGTTCCCATGATACCTGTAGCATAGATGGCACGGAAATTGAAACTATGTCAAGCATTAAATACTTTGGATTAGTTCTTTCCTCTGATCTTTCATGATCATCCCACATCTTATCAATCTCCAAGAAGGTGTTTCGTCTTACCATCTACATTAAAAAGTTAAGACAATCAGGTATCAACCAACCTTTAGTTTTTGCAATTTTTAAACTCCTGTATTTTACCTTTTGTACTCTATTGCTCTCCATTATTCTTTCCTGGGCTTCTCAAAAAAGACCACATCATATTACGAAGAGTATTAAATGCTGTGAGTAGGGCTTGTGATATGCCACTGCGTGAGCTCGCCAATACTACAGTCGAGAGACACATAAATTCCTGTACAAAATGGGCAAAGGCTATACTGTCAGACCCTCTGCACTCCCGTTATTCACAACTAATCCCATTGTATCTCATCAGGTAAGACGAGGAGTCAATATAAAAAGTTATATACTCGCACCACTAAGTACAAAAATTCTATAATACCGTATTTAGCCCGTATTTTATGTGATGAAGACTCTGTTAGACGTGAAACGTGACATAAGTTACTATGTAATTAGGAAAGTGAATTGACCCTTTTTATTGTCCATCTTTCTGTAATTTTATGGTGTTACCCTTTCTATCATTTAATCATAACTTAGCGATTTTATTTTAGTTAGTAATATTATTATTACTACAATTTTATACTTTATGCATATTTTTCTCCTTATCGCATACAGTAATTTGCTACATAGCTGCTATAATTTTATTTTTATTTTATTTTTTTATTTTTGATTACAGCTTGATTCCACACTGTATTTTGATACAAGTATGGAATTTTCAGCATGGATTTCGGTAACCCAAATTTTGCAGGCCGAACATAGATATCGGGTATGCGTCGGCAGGGGATCGAACCCCGGACCATGTGCATGGTTGGAGAGAGTCCTGACCACTGTGCCACCGACTCCAACAACGTTTTATTATTATTATCATCATTATGTAATGTTTATTTTCAGTTTTTTTTTTTGTTTTTGAGCAAATTAGATGGAATATTGTACTGAATGCTGAAAACTCCTTGCTGTATCATTAGTACTGTTTTTGGAATAAAGCAAAAATTATATTATTATTATTATTATTATTATGACACTGATAGGAATCGGGGGCTTAGGATAAAATATAGTAATCCCATCTTATGATGATTCTATATCTCATGATCAAGTGACCTTGACTAGTTGTCAGATTTCATTATCTTCATCTCGGTTACCTTAGTCTTGGGTCCATACAGTTAATTGTCAAGTAATCAGAATATTTGATACGTTTGATAACAGAGACAGTAAACAGAGATGTGAGACAAAGGAAGAGTAATAACGAAGAACAAAACAGTTTCATTAGAAGTTAAAAGTTACAAGAAGTGGATGCATCTGCGCCAGCAATTGAGGACGATTTTGAATCATATCACCGATTATTTCGAACCATTGGTTTTTACCGTCCCGAGGACTCCAACCAGCAAGTCTACATCGTCCTACGTGGCTGGCTGGCTGGCTGGCTTAAACCAACTGTTGTGGATTTCATTGACTGATGAAGCCATGTTTTGGTTTGACCACCACTGGCTCTTTTCCAACCTGACCATATGTCAGCTACCATTTCCCGTCGAGGAAGGCGATAGCTAGGCATGCATGCGTAACACAGGTCCTAATCATCTCAATCGATGTAATTTCACAGCTTCGTCGATTGATTTCCCCTCCCTCCTAACCTAGTACTCGACCGAAGCCTAACCTCAGTATTGCTCACCTTATTATACCACGCCACCTAACACGGGAGATAGAACGCGGGCACCTATGATCAAAGATAGCCAGCTAGCTGGCCTTTTCATGTCTTCCACTCTCAATGGCCAGGTCTCACAGCCAGCTATAAAGGAGGACAAAGCTAAGTGATCCTGAGCACAGTACACACTCCCTATGATTGATAGCTAGCCGGATATCACGTCTATACTAAAGACGGCGTAAACTAGCATATGCGAAACTAGCCCTCTGTATCCATGCTGAGATTTCGTCAGCGATCAACCCCATTGGCGCTGGTTGATGCAACTTCCCAAATAAGCGAGGCGATCATTAACATGCTCCATCAACCACTTCACTCCTGCCTATTTTTAAGCTAGGAGTCAATGTGGTCCAGTCAGTCCTTTAGCGTCATCTTACATTTGACAAGGGGAGCGAATCGTATGCCAAAACATTCACAGATTGCTACTCCTCAAGATGTTCATCAGAAGACTCTGCATTTTGTCAGGGTTAATTTCATTAGTGTGTACATCTATGGTGACGGACAGCACCACCGCTTAGTTGTCACCATCTCAGATGACAACTCGTCAACAACACCAACAACAACGCCAACAACAAAAACTAATATTCACTCACCTGTAAAGAAGATACAGCATTTGGTATTATAGTTATTTTATTATTGGATAAATCAATCACATTAATTGGTATTGATGAGATACACAGTTCAACAGGGAATTCAGTTAAATAATTATTCGATAAATTCACCGTACGTAGACAAGATAATTCTGTTAGATTGACAATAGCACTTGGATTGATAAAATTCACTAGAAGATTATTACTCACATTGAGCGATTCTAATTTTGTTAGTAAATATAACTCTTCTGGAAGATATTCTGGTTAGTGACGAGAAGGGCAGAGAGAGGGTGAGAGAGAGAGAAATAAAAGAGATATACATTAGGCATTACACACACACACAAAATAACTGAATTAAATCAACTCGCAAAAAACACAAATCTAATTCAAGTGTTGGTTTGTGGGGATTTGATTAGTTTCAGGATTTCATCATGATCAGCTGACATTAGTTAGAGAACCATTGGAAAACCAACTGGGAGTACTGGACAGCTGTTTCGTCCTAGTTTGGGACTCTTCATCAGTACGCACCCACTGGGATTCGAACACAGGACCTTCTGGTTACAAGGCGAGCTCATATACCATTGAGCCACTGGGACGATTGGATCGGGACCCGATCCTTGTAACCGGAAGGTCCTGGGTTCGAATCCCGGTGGGTGTGTACTGCTGAAGAATCCCAGACTAGGACGAAACAGCTGTCCAGTACTCCCAGTTGGTTTTCCAATGGTTCTCTAACTAATGTCAGCTCATGATGAAATCCTGAAACAAATCTAATTCTTCAAGGTTACAGATGATACGCCTTGCTGACTGGTGAGTGCCAACTAGCACGAAACCTAGGTCAAACAAGGCTTCCTGCGGTCGACATTTTACGGCGCACTCTAATGGTGAGCCACCTAGTGACATGGTAGCCACATTCCAAACCTGACTGACTGATAGAATTCAGTCTGCAGTGAAGATAGGACTAGACACATTACACTAGTTGCTGACTAGTGTCCAATCAAAAGTACCCAATAGTCAGCCCTACAGGAGGTCAATCGCGAGCCAGCCCGAATAGCTCAGTGATAACGTCTCTGACTGCAAGCAGCACTGGGTGACGTGGGTTCGAATCTCAGAAGGGGACAGGAGTTCCCCTTCAAGTTGGTTGCAGATACGCCTTGCTGACTGGTGAGTGTCAACTAGCACGAAACCTAGGTCCAAGGCTTCATGTCGATTGCCGCCAAACATCTAATACCAAAAATTCTTACAAACCAAACTTGAAAATTAATCTGATGCTTGCTAGTGAGTGAGTGAGTCAGTGACTTGCTCTAAAGGACAGAGTTTCCTGGAGTGAGTTCTAGTGAGAAGTCGTGTTGCCAGTGAGGATGGATGTCTCACCGATGGCCACCGATTGGTTGGTATCAGTCGCGTTAAATGCATCACGAATTGGCTGAAGTTAGAATTCATAGAGGTTCGAGTCCCAGTGGCTGAATAAGTATACGAGCTAGCTTGACTTGTAACCGGAAGGTCGTGGGTTCGAACCCCAATGGCGTGGCGGTGGGTGGGTGGGTGCATACTGACAATGATTTCCAAACTATGCTGATGAAACAGCTGGCTGTCCAGTACCACCACCCGCTCCAGCTGGTTTTCAATGGTTCTCTAACTCGTATCAATGCGTGATCAATTCGTAAAAAAATAAATCTAATCCTTACAAAAGCTGTATCAGTTAAATTAGCTCTGATAATATCACCGACCGATATCACGATTAGGGAACCAGGCAAAATCATGAAGTTCTGAATAGCTGACTACTTGTCTTAGTTTGAGCAGACTTCACCAAAGAATTACGGCTGTTCAAACCAAAACTTACCGTCAATTCATGAAATCTATGACAGTTGGTTTGAAAGCCAGTCACGTAAGAGAAGTGGACGGGGTTGTAGACTGCCCGACTGAAGTTATCAGGATGCTAAGAACCAATGGCTGAAGACTGTTTGGTAGTATGACTCAACATCGTTCCCAAAATAGCGCGGATACATTCACTCTATGTGATCTCTCATAACATCGTCTCTCTTCCATTTCTTAGCACTATAGTTCTGATCAATGTGCTACATAGAGTGTGCAGTGTTCTACATTGAAACTCAGTTGGTTAGTTTTCAATCACTACGCATACATGATCTACAAGTTCTCCTTTGTAACTGGAAGGTCCTGGGTTCGAATCCCGCGGGAACGAATCAAAACTAGCTGTCATCCAGTAATCCCTGCTGGTGGGTTTTCCAATACTTCTCTAATGCTGATGTCAACTAACACACTTGATAATTGCAAATTGGATTCTATGTGTTAGCAATTCGTTCAAGTGGCTTGGCTAAGTTTTTGAATGGAAAATGATGGATTGGATGTACACAAGGAAGGGTTGGGTTGATATGGAAATGACTCTTTGAAAAAGAAATTAAAGTTTTTGAGTCGACGTGAAGCTAGATGAACGTGACTGAGTGTAAAACCGCAAGGGACCACAGACAATGAATAATAATAATATTATGATGATTATAATGAATCTGAAATACTTACATTACTACTGAAAAACGAAAACCAGTGAAAAGATGTGTGAATTTATTTAGAAAGTTTTGAAATAAATAGTGTTTTCAACAGAGCCGGAATAGCTCAGTGGTAACGTCTCCCTCTTTCTGACAGCAGATAGCACTGGATGACGCGGGTTCGAATCTCCGAAGCAGGGAAATGAATTCCTTCAACATGGTTACAGATATGCCTTGCTGACTGGTGAATGCCAATTAGCACGAAACCTAGATCAAACAAGACCTCCTGTGGCTGTTTGCCTTTAACCTTCTAATATCAACAACTCAAAGTACACCGTGATGATGGCGAGCCGCCACCTAGTGTGGCATGGTGACCACATTTCAAACTTGATTGATGATAGAATTGAGTCTGCACCGAGGATAGGGGACTAGACACACACACACACACATTACACTAGTTACTGACTACTTTCCAATCAAAAAGTAGATCCTTGCCGCATATCGTATCATCGTGCATTCTGTTTCTAAAGCAAACAAGTTTAATTTGGCATTTATGTATTTATTATTACTATTTATTAAATCACATGCATCGGTGGCACAGTGGTTAGGACTCTGACCGACCATTCACACTGTCCGGGGTCCGATCCCCGGCCGACGCACTCCATTACCTCGCTAAGCCAGAACATAATGCCGGTAAAGAGAAAAAATTGGGCATAAAGCTAGCAACCTACAGAAACTTCAAGCTACTAGCTTGAGGCCCTATGTTCCACTGGGAACGTGAAGGGAAAAATCATTTATTAAATTACACAGCCTGCTACACTATGAGCATCAAGGGATGTGCAGCAGAAAATCTCATAGTTCTTGCAATGGTTTGGTGCACTGCTGAGACGCCTGAATCGAAACAAGTGGTTGTCTAGAGGGGCCCTTCTCACCGAACGAGTCTTTAACTTGAAGCTTGATCCATCCGCAAGGCAGTTTATAGAGTAGCATCAGAAGCCACTTGTTTCCAGCCATGGTTTCTAGTAACCAAAACAGGTTCATATAGTAGCATTCAGTCCGTTTGAATTATGGAACGCATGTATACCAGTACGCCTATATATATCCACCAGTCAGGTTTTAAGTGTCAGATGCTCGGATTTACCCTTTCACTTATGTGGGGAACACTCCCGTTGCCAATTGAAGGAAGCCAATGAATAGGACAACTTACTAGGCAGAAGTACACCACTATAAAAGCGTAACTACACTGACAGCAAACATTTCGTGACAGAGAGAAAGACCGAAGTCTACCCCCCCCGCATCATCGGCCATACCAAGTATTTTAAGGGGACAATTTTGTATTTATGCAAAGGTTTTAGTCTTCCATTTTAAACTATTGGGAGTTTTTTTCACGATCAACTAATCAGGACTAATGTTTCCTTAGAAGTTAGTTGCTGGATGGTGACTAGCAGTGGAATCCAACCAGCATGCACATTTCGTCCTATTTGGGACTGGTCATCAGTAATGGCGTTTCCCTCTAAGGCTGTGGAACCCAGTGTCCAAAGTTTCAAAAACACTAAAGCGTTATCCACTATACCACTTGGGCTACGAGAGCCACATCTTCTGCAACGGGTCGCATATTAATTATTTAATTCAATTTTAGATTTTCCTATCGATTGATTGCACTGAAGTGCTTAATCTCAGGTTGACTGAGGAATGCAGGCAGATCCAGATGATGAGTCCCAAATGGGACGAAACGCACACGCTGGCTGGATCCCACAGGTAGTCACCATCCACCAATTAACTCCTAATTACATGCTCAGACATCGTTGAAGCATCTGCACAAGAAGCCGACAGACATGTCAACCTGAGAACGAGCATTTCGCTGCAATCAATCGACGGGAAAATCTAAAGTTCAATTAAAATAATTAGCATGACCTGTTGCACAAGAGGTGGTTGTTATGGTCCAATTGGTTTAGTGGCTAACGCTTTGGCGTTTAAAGCTATGAGCACTAAGTTCTAGTCTCAGTGAGAATATCATCACTCATTGGGGAATGCAGGCTCATCATCCAGTTAGCTGACGAGTCGCAAATAGGACGAAATGAGCATGCTTGCTGGATTCCACTAATTTTTCATTATTTGAAGTTTCAAGGGTTTTATTGATTTTACGTTAGATCACAGATCACTAACATCGATCGAGAACTACTGAAGTACTCAAGAAGTACTACTACTGACTCAATAACTGTTTCGTCCTAGTAATCTAAAGCCTTCTCAGTTCAACTGCTAGTAGAGTTATATGTACATACTACTGAAGACTGTACCTAGAAAGAATTAGCAGCAACAAGAAACTGTGGGAACTCTGTACCTAGGGGCCTTTTGTTAAATAAGCTATCGTTGACACAAACAGGATCCTGGGCTAAGAGTTGGTTGCATTCCTATTTTTCTGATAGAATGCAGTATACTGTATATAACGGCAAATCTTCTTCTACCTCGCTTACAAAATCCGGTGTTCCACAAGGTGCTGTCCTCTTTCCTTTTCTTTTTTCTTTCTTCCTTCATGACCCGCCTCATTCAAACGAAACTAACTTTGTCAAATATGCAGATGATCTGACTGTATCACTCACTGCCTATCACTTCTGAGTCTGACAGCTCCAAACTTAGTAGCTTTCTGTTGGACATCAACAAGTGGTCTAAGTCAAATGGTCTTATGTTAAATCCTTCCAAATGTCAGGCAGTTGACTTTACTTTCAAGCATCGACGTGACTTACTTGAACTAGTTAGCTCGCATGATCCCTGTATCATAGATGGCACGGAAATTGAAACCAAGTTAAGCATTAAATACCTTGGATTAGTTCTTTCCTCTGATCTTTCATGGTCATCCCACATCTTATCTATCTCTAAGAAAATGTTTCGTCTTACCTTCTACATTAAAAAGTTAAGACAATCAGGTATCAACCAACCTTTAGTTTTGCAATTTTTAAACTCCTGTATTTTACCTATTGTACTCTATTGCTCTCCATTATTCTTTCCTGGGCTTCTCAAAAAAGACCACATCATATTACGAAGAGTATTAAATGCTGTGAGTAGGGCTTGTGGTATGCCACTGCGTGAGCTCGCCAATACTATAGTCGAGAGACATATAAATTCCTGTACGAAATGGGTAAAGGCTATACTGTCAGACCCTCTGAACCCCCTTTATTCACACCTGTCCCCTTGTATCTTATCAGCTAGGACGAGAAGTCAATATAAGAAGTTATATGCTCGTACCACTAAGTATAGAAATTCTACAACACCCTATTTAGCCCGTACTTTATGTGACGAAGACTCTGTTAGACGTGAAACTTACAAGTTACTATGTAATTAGCACAGTAAATCGACCCTTTCATCGTTCATCTTTCTGTATTTTATGGTGTCACACTTTCTATCATTTAATCATAACTTAGCGATTTTATTTTAGTTAGTAATATTATTATTACCACAATTTTGTACTTTATGCATATTTTTCTCCGTATGGCGTACAGTATTTTGCTATGTAGCTGCTATAACAATCGTTATATAACTGTTATGTAATGTGTATTTTTAATTTTTTTTTGTCGTTTTTGAGTAAATTAGATGGAATATTGTACTGAATGCTAAAAATTCTTTGCTGTATCACTAGTACTGTTTTTGGAATAAAGCAAAAATTATTATTATTATTATTAACCAGGAACCTATCGTACAACAAATTCGATTAAGAAAATTGAGACGGATTGGGTACACAGTGTAGAAACCATTGAATGACACCATTACTCGCCAGGCCATGGCACTAGTAGTGGAACCCAAATAAGAAACAACCAGTAGAGCGTGAGTTTGAGAGTGACATATGGGGGGGGGCGGGGGGAGATCGTGTGACGAGGAGAATATGACAGCCTAATGGGGAATCGTGAAGCCAGCTAAAAAGAACTGTGGAGAACAGGGCAAAATGGAGATGTACTGTCTAAGCTCAATATTTTACTCAGACTAGTTTGAGTCATGCTCAGTGAGGACAGTTGTTAATTCCCAGCTGCCCACACCGTGAAACTTGATTAATTCTTCAGATACCTGAAATAGAAAGAGAGTCAGTGTTGCGTGACCGCAGAGCCCAAAGGTCAACTGTTTGAGGCCAGTCTCACACACACGGCCTGTATGGGAATGGTTTTTTGGATTGGTTTCGTATTAGTAAATTTACCGCCGATTACGGACCACCCCGGAGGTAGGGTAAGTCGGGATGTACAATTTTTGGGGTCGAACTTTTTCTAACCGCCTCTCTCTCTCTCTCCAGAGTTATGGGACAGTATAGCTGGTATGCTGGCTGTCCAACGGAGACGACTTTACTGCGGCTGTTACATCCCTGTTCTCCAGCAGTACGACTTCGCGCCCACAGACCTCCAACATAGTGTAAAAAAGGAGAATTCTCACACTATGCCGGTAACTAACCTCGCCTAGTTAGTTAACTAGCTTGCTAGTTTTCTAACCGGTCCTAAGTTCGGGTAAAGAAGGGGGTTGGGCATGGGGCTAGCAACCCCACACCACTAAATCATTCAAAGAGCTAGAGAAACTTCAACACACAGATGAGAAGACTCTGGAAGATCTGGATTTCGCAGACGATATATGTCTGTCTGCTGGGTTTCCCCCCTGGGCCGGTGCGCCTCTCCTTAGTCGACCTGGACAACCCGTCCTCCGACAGGTCATCCATATCGGCGCCGTGCTTAGCGTGGACGCCCGATCAACATGAGCAGCCATATGCCAGAACTCCCGGTCCCGCGAAATTCCGCACCCTGGCCTCCAAGTAGCTAGATTACAGGCGCACGCCACCACGATATATGTCTAATATCACACAAACTCGAAGACTTTCAGGCAGGTGAAAACCAACAAACTGGCTGAAGAGTCTGGGCAGCGAAAACAGGACTGCAGGTGAACACAGAGAGAAGACGGAGGTGATAAAGATAACCAGTAACACCACCAACGGGAAAGATACAACAGAGGTTGCCTCATTCACTTATCTGGCCAGGAAGCATCTCGTTTCAACTACAGGCTGACGGGACGGACGAAGATGTCAAAACCAGTTAGAATCGGAAAGGCAAAATATGCCTTCATCACTTTGAAACCACTTTGGAAATCGTCTCTACACTCAGCCAGCATAAGGAACAAGATTCGCATTTTCAACATCAATGTAAAGTCGGTTCTTCTATACGGGTCAGAAACTTGACGTCTCACGAAACGGATTGCCAACACCCTGTTGGAGACTTTCATCAACAGCTGCCTGCTTCACTGGCTGACTCTCCATAGTGAAGATCAAATGGCTGGTCAGAAAGAATAAGCAACGAGAAAGTCTGGCTCGGAACAAATCAACCAAGAGCCGATCGTTCAACAAATATGTGTAGGAGAACGTGGATATGGATGGATTGGGTAAACGTTCAGGAGACCGTCGAAAGACATCGCACACCAGGTGGTCAGTGCTCGAGTGGAATCTGAATGGTAAGCGACGAGCAGGTCAACCTAGGGTGACATGGAGGAAATTGTGTGAGGATGAGATGAGAGAGTTTGGTCAATCGTGGACCCAGCTGAAGAGGATGGCAGAAAACAGAACAAAGTGGAGAAGTGTTGTTCAAGCCATCCCTATATTCCACTCGGGACGCATGTTGACCACTTCACCTATTTGGGAAGTTGTATTAGCACCAACGGACTGATTGGCGATGAAATCTCAGCACGGATCGAAAAAGCTCGAGCTGCTTTCGCTGACATACACCATCTCTGGCGTAGGCGTGACATCCGGCTGGCTATCAACCAAGGGACGTGTGTACTGCTCACCAGTTCGCTCCGTCCTTGTCTATGGCTCTGAAACATGGCCAATACGAGTTGAAGACATGAAAAGGTTGACTGCTTTCGATCATAGATGTCTGCGATCTCTGTCTCACGTTAGGTGGTTTAATAAGGTAAGTAATGTTGACGTTGGGCGTAGAGTGTTGGGCAAAGAGGGAAAATCAATCGACGAGGCTATAGAGTTACATAGACTGAGATGGCTATGTCACGTGCTGCGCATGCCTAACCACCGCCTCCCCCGACGGGCATTACTAGCTGATATAGGTGGTGCAGGTTGGAAAAGAGCCAGTGGTGGCCAAACAAAAACATGGCATCATCAATCCATGAAATCCTTGACAGTTAAACTGAGTCGGTCAGGTAGGGAGATGCAGACTTCCAGGTTGGGGCCCTCGGGACTGACTCTAGGAATCAATCAATGGCTGCAGACAATAGGTGACATGGCTCAAAATCGTTGTCAATGGCCAGCTCAGATGTATTCAGTCTCTGTAACCTTTCATATTCCTTTCTACCATTACCCATTCTGTTTCCCTCTTATACATGTCAAACTCTATTGATTCTCTTTACTCATCTTCTTGTCTACCTTTGTGTGCTATTTGGAACGTGGCAACTTGAACTGGTGCACTTCGGTGCCAAGTTCTACGTTGAATCCAGACAGAGACTCGGGACGCAAGGGAATAATAATAATAATGCCGGTAACTGCTTATAGTCTGTCTAATCGCTATCCTAACAAGCCTCCTGGCATAGTAGGACCTACAGGAACAATAGTTCCAACCAGTGTAGCTTGTTGGTGGGTCATTTGCGATAAGAAAGCTCGACCACCACGTCAAGGTAGCAGCAGCTATCGGTCGGGGTTCCATTCAGAATCTAAGGAAACAATAATAATAATAATACTTGAAGTATCTATGTTGTGTAATATAATATAGAGTTATTAGCATGTCAAGAAATGACAATAATAATAATAATAATGACAAACGCTCATGAAAACTTACTCAATCGATTATTTTCAAGATTCAAGACTTTTAAACCTTTCAATACAGATATCCATGATTCAATCACTTCAATTTTATTATAGGATAAATCTAAACTTCGTAGATTACGAAGACGTTTCACTTCTTCAGGAATCTAATTAATTTTTTTTGACTTTATTTAATTTTATTGATTTGGTCAGCTTACCTTTTTTAATTTTAAATTACTCACTTGTAAAACACCAGTTTTTTCAGCGTTTTCCAACCTTGGAGCAATAGTATTACCCATTAAGCATGGCAAGTAGAATTATACAACAAGAGTTGAAGAGATATTTCCCCCCTCCTTTACTTCCCTTCGATTAATCGATTGATCGATAAATGGATTGATTGATTGATTGACTGCTTGATTGATTAAGTGATTTATCACACCGTAAGTGAATACATCTAAAATGGTGGCAAAAAAAGAAAAGAAGTTAGTTGAGAGGGATTGATTAAGTTCAGTTTGTGATTCAAGAGGCGCGAACATATAAGAGTGATCTTAGAAAGAGTAATTGGGCTAAAAGGTAAATTTGGTTCTACGCCGTCTCTGGCTTATTAGACGTGATATCCAGTTGGCTGTCGACCGAACAGCCGGTGTACTGCTCAACTGTTCGCTCCATCCTCCCTTATGGCTGTCTGTGAGACCTGGCCGTTGAAAGTGGACATGAAAAGCCTGGCTAACTGTCTTTGATCATGGGTGTCTGTGTTCTATCTCCTGTGTTAGATTATATAATAGGGTGAGCAATATTGAGGTTAGGCATCCGTCAAGTGCCAGGTAGTTGGGAGTGGAAATCAATATACAAGGTTGTGAAGTTACATCAACTGAGACGGTTAGGACATGTTACGTATGCTTAGCTATTGCCTTCCTCAACTGTGGGCAATGTTAGCTGACATAGGGTCAGGTTGGCTTCATCAGTCAATGAAACCCACAACAGTTGTCTGTCTGTCTGTTTTCGACATAGAACTTTGCACAAATGTGCGGAAGTTCAAGTCGCCACACTCCGTGTAGCACGCGAAGCAAGAGAAGAAAGTACAAGAAAAGCATAATAGAAACAGTGAGCAGAGGTGTGAGACAAAGGAGGAGTAATAACGAAGAACAAAACAGTTTCATTGGAGATCATCAGTCACAAGGAGTGGATGCATCTGCGCCACCCAGCCACTGAGAACGGTTTTGAGCCATGTCACCAATTGTTTCCAACCATTGATTTTTACCGTCCCGAGGACCCCAGTCTGGAAGTCTACACCTTTCTACGTGGCTTAGACCAACTGTTGTGGATTTCGTTGACTGGTCAGGCCAAGTTTTTGTTTGACCGCCGCTAGCATTTTTCCAGCCTGACCCTATATCCGCTAACATTGCTCGTCGAGGGAGGCGACGACTTGGCATACGTAACACATGTCCTAACCATCTCAGTCTTTGTAACTTCACAACTTCGTCGATTGATTTCCCCTGTTTACCTAGCACTCGACTGATGCCTAACCTCAATGTTGCTCACCTTATTATGCCACTTTACACGGGAAATAGAGCACAGACACCTATGATCAAAGACAGCTAATTTGGCTTTTCATGTCTTCCACTCTCAGTGGCCAGGTCTAGCTCACAGCCATAAAGGAGGACGGAGGGGACTGATGAGCAGTACACCCGCCCTTTGGTCGATAGTCGAACATCTCGTCTACGCCAGAGTCGGCGTAAACTGGCAAATGCGAAACGAGCCCCCTGTATTCGTGCTGAGATTTCGTCAGAGGTCAGCCCGTTGGGGCTGATGGTACTTCCCAAATAAGTGAAGCGGTCAACGTGCTCTACCACTTCACTTCCTATTTTTAAACTAGGCGTCGATGTAGTCCAGTCCTGTAACATCATCTTGCATTTGGCGGGAGCGAATCGCATGCCAAACATTCGTAGATTGTGGCTCAAGGTGTTTAGAAGACTCTGCATTTCGTCAGCGTCTTCGCCTAGAAGGACTATATCGTCTGCATATTCCAAGTCAACGAGATCATTCCCCGGTAGCAAGTCAATCCCTGAGTCGCTGAAGTCACCTAGGGTTAAGTCCATTAACACATCTATGGTTACGTAGGAAGATGTAGACTTCTTGACTGGCTGCTTGGGGTCCTCGAGACGGTAAAAACCAATGGAGGCTGGAGACGATTGGTGATGTGGCTAGCTCAAAATCGTTCTCAATGACTGGCGCAGATCCATCCACTCCTTGTGACTCATAATACCCAATGAAACTATATTGTTCTTCTTTATTACTATTCCTTTTGTCTCATATCCCTGTTTACTGTCTGGAGTTTGCACTTCTTCTACTTTCTTCTCTTGCTTTGTGTGGTACATGGAGGAAGTGTGGTGACTTGAACTGCTGCACATCTGTGCAAAGTTCTATGTTGAAAACAGTCAGTCAGTCAGATTTGGTTCCGTAACCATCCCTAACATCTCAGCAGTTAAGTTAACAGGCGAAGTTAAACTTTAGGCAGCGACAGAGTGCAGACTCACCAATGACCTTAAACGGATCAATTGTGTTCCTCATGTGAGCTCAAGCTATTATTCCGATCTAACGAACTTTTGTTTTAAATCTGGTGTAGACGGAGTATGCCAGTATTGTATGGATGTGAAACTAATCGCAAGTAGAGGAATTCGTTGATATTGGAAGGTTGAAGGCATTTGACCACAGGAAGCGCCTTGGACCTACATTTTGTGCTAGTTGACACTTACCAGTCAGCAAGGCATATCTGCAACCTTGAAAGAACTTATATCCTTTCTGTGATCCAAACCCGTGCTACCTAGCAGGAAACCTAGCTCCAAGACTTCCTGCCGGTTGCCTCCAACCAACTTATATCAACAACACTCACAGTGCACCATGATGGTGACAAGCCACTTAGTGGCATGGTGGCCACAATGCAAACTTTTCTGACGACAGAATTCAGTTTTCATCGAAAATAGGAGACATTAAACTAGTTACTGACCAGTGCCCAACAAAAATAGAATTTGTCCACCTGGCCACTGAGAGTGGAAGACATGAAAAGCCAAATTAGCTGTCTTTGATCATAGGTGTTTGTGCTCTATTTCCCGTGTAAAGTGGCATAATAAGGTGAGCAACATTGAGGTTAGGCATCAGTCGAGTGCTAGGTAAACAGGGGAAATCAATCGACGAAGTTGTGAAGTTACAAAGACTGAGATGGTTAGGACATGTGTTGCGTATGCCAAGTCATTGCCGTCCTCGACGAGCAATGTTAGCGGATATAGGGTCAGGCTGGAAAAAAACTAGCGGCGGTCAAACAAAAACTTGGCCTGACCAGTCAATGAAATCCACAACAGTTGGTCTAAGCCACGTAGGAAGGTGTAGACTTCCAGGCTGGGGTCCTCGGGACGGTAAAAATCAATGGTTGGAAACAATTGGTGACATGGCTCAAAACCGTTCTCAGTGGCTGGGTGGCGCAGATGCATCCACTCCTTGTGACTGATGATCTCCAATGAAACTGTTTTGTTCTTCGTTATTACTCCTCCTTTGTCTCACACCTCTGCTCACTGTTTCTATTATGCTTTTCTTGTACTTTCTTCTCTTGCTTCGCGTGCTACACGGAGTGTGGCGACTTGAACTTCCGCACATTTGTGCAAAGTTCTATGTCGAAAGCAGACAGACGTAGAAGGTATTATGAGTATAGAAAGTCTCAGCTGAACTATCAAAAGACAGGCTTTCCATTGTAAAATTTGTCAGAGGTGAACTAGTTTGATGATTACATTATTTTTGTAATAACACTTTTGCCATACAGCACTTGTTATTAACTCAGATTTTATATATTTGCAGTCATTTGGTATTGAAGCATAGTTTGTGGGGACTACAGTGGAAACGGAAAACAGTTTCATTTCAATCGTTCAATGACTGACTGGCTTCAACGTAGAAATTTGCACAGATGTGCAGCAGTTCGAGTTGCCACGTTGCCATGTAACACATAAAGCAAGAGAAGAGAGTAAACACAGATTTAAAATAAAGAGAGAGAGAGATATCAAACAGAAATATGAGGCAAAAAGAAGAGTAATATGGAAGAAACATACAGTTTCATTGGATATTATAAATCACACAAAGTGAATTTATCTGCGCCAGCCATTGATAGCGATTTTGGGCCATATAACCGATTGTCTCCAGCTTTCATTGATTTTTACCGTCCTGAGGAACCCAACCAGAAAGTGTACACCTTCCTACGTGGCTGGCTGGTTTAAACTAACTGTTGTGGATTTGATTGACTGATGAAGTCATGTTTTGCTTTGACCACACACCAATAGCTCTTTTCCGACCTGACCCTGTATCAGCTAACATTGCCCCTTGTCGAGGAAGGAGATAGCTAGGCATGCGTAACACATGTCATAACCATCTCAATCGGTATAACTTCACAGCCTCGTCGACTGATTCTCCCTACTTACCAACTAACACTCGACGCCTAACCTGAATATTGTTCACCCTATTGTACCACTTAACATGCATCGGAGAAAGAACTCAGACACCTATGATGAGAGACAGCTAGCTAACTTTTTATATCCTTCACTCTCAATGACCAGGTCTAACTCACAGCCATAAAGGAGGACGGAGCAGACTGCTGAGCACTACACACGTCCTTTGGTCGACAGCCAGCCGGATATCAAGTCTGCTAAGCCAGAGACGGTGTTAACTGGCATATGCGAAACTAGCCTTCTGTATCCGTTCTGAGATTTCACCAGTGATCAACCCGTTGGCACTGTCTGGTGCAACTCCCTAAATAAGTGAAGTGGTCAACACGCTCTACCACCTCACTCCCTCTTTTTAAGCTAGGAGTCAATGTAGTCCAGTCCTGTAGCATCATCCATCAACTTACATTTGGCGGAAATTGTCCAGTGATATCAGTACTGAGGAGATATGACAACATGGAAGACGAAAAGAGTAACTTCTTTATTAGGAGGTATTTCGTACACATAGGCGAAATAATGTTGATAAGTAGGAAATTCATGCATTGATGTCATGCTTTGTTCTGACCACTACTAATTAATTACCTCACAACTTAATCCTATATTAGTCAACATTACTCAACAAAGAAGATGGTGGTTCAGCATAAGCAACACGTCGTGTCTTAACAATCTCAATCGATGCAGCTGCACAACCTCATCGATTCACTTGTGTTCAAGAAAATCCGTCTAACAGAACCACTAATGAATAACTGAGACCATAACACAATCAAATCCTTTTAATTTCATTCTTAAAATATCAGGTTAATGGTGTCTGTCTC